AACATTTGAAAAATAGTGGGGCCTCATGACACCATAGGTTTTACATGTAAGCGAGAGAAGTTAGTCTCCATTATAGTTAACTTAGCTTGGGAGACTTATGCTAGCATTTTAAAGGCAAATTGGAAACTATTTCCTGGAACAACTCCTCGCAGCATGCCTTTTGATACTTGGATTGTATTTCTTCAATTCTGAAGAAATCTTTGCTTTTTCCCCCCTTCTGTGCATTTTTGGTGCTGAGCTGTTTCCGGTTTTCCCACACTCCTGCCTGTCAGAGAGAAGAAACCACAAAAATGCAGCAGAGCAAAGTTTGTCCAAAGAGCTGCAATTCCACCTCCAGGTTCTCCTGCCAGCAGGAGTTCAGGGAGCCAGGGTCCAGCCCTGCTGCCTCTGAAGGAGCCCACCTCCCCCAGCAGCCCAGCTGGCTACATCTCAAGACTTACAGCTGAACTGTATCCCCCTAAATAGGGGCAGTGAAGTCTAACCTCCATATCTATGGATGTAATCACACAGGGAATAAGTTTTCTTTATTATGTTAATAAGGCTGTATAAGTGGACAAAGAGTTTTAAGCCAATCACTTTAGAGATATAAAAGGAGCAGGTTTAGACACTTTAAGCAAGTGACGAGGGACAAGGAAAGATAGATGCCAAGCTGCAAGGCAGAGCCAAGGGGTGGAGCAAAAGCAGCCGAAGAGGCAAGAATCTTTCCTCAGAGCTGACAGAAAATGCTTTTTCTTCACGCCTGTGCCCTGAATTTGGACTTCCAGTTTTCTAAACAGTGAACAAACAAGTTTCTGCTCATGACAGCTCTCCACCTGTGATATTTCTGCCACAGCAGCACCAGATAACTAAGTGAGGAGGGGATTAGCAATAGGGTAGAATCCACAAACAAGGATCATGATGCTGCCAAGCCTGGGGGTGAGAATCTTGGTTTTCGTGATGTTGAGATATAATCCATCTTGAAGACTGCAGTCCTTGCCCTTCTGCAGCAAATGCTCCAAGTAGTGGCAAGGGTGGGAGAAAATGTGGACGAAAACTCAAAGTCCTCAAAAGAATCAGGAGTGCTCGTCTGATGATGGCCCCTGGTTATCCCTGGAGCTACGCTTACCCTTTGGCTCACATTTAATTCAGTTAATAGACACGTCTTTAAGAAAGACTAAGAAAGACGAACAAGAACACCAGGGAGGCACCCATTCCTCAGAACAATTATCCATACAAGATATACAAAGAGCAGCTGAAGCTCACGGATAAAGCACAAAAGGCAGGAAGGCGTAAGACAGGCCTGATGAAAATGAGACTAACAGGGAGGGAGAGGAAAGAGTGTGGTTTCAGTATGTGTACTGCAGTTAATGGCAGAATGGAGAAATCATTTGCTCCGTAAACTTTCGCCCAAATCAAAATTTCAAAAAAAGTTTACAACCTTGGAATCCCAATGGGGCAGTTCTACTGAGACTTGAGAGTAATGAGTTTTTTTAAGTTAAAAGATGACTGGAAGTAGAGTGAAAAAATCTGATGCAGGAATTGAAATGTATGTATGTGTGTATCTCTCTCTCTCTCTGTGTGTCAGCACCAAGTCCCTCTCCAAGGAATAGATCCTCCTAGCAACATGTTGAAAATATATAAGGCAAAGTCTCATCATTCTTACCTCCAAAGAGCACTCTGGCTGCTCCCTCTCCAAGATATATCTGTTTGTTCTCTTGACCAACCATGGGCTCTTCAGTGCTCTTCTCAAGCACCACAGCTCAAAAGCATCAATTCTTCTGCCATCATCCCTATTCATTGTCCAGCTCTCAGATGCATAGCAAATGATCGGAAAGACTATGGCCTAAATCAGACACATCTCACTCCTCAAATGGATATCATTACTCCTCAATAATTTTGACAGGTTCCTAATTGCAGATTTTCCCAGTTCAATGCATCTCCTTATTTTTTGAATTCTGGTACAAAGGGTATTAATTGTGGATCCAAGCAAGATGAAGCTGTTGATCATTTCAATCTCCTCTCCATCCATCATGACACTGCCTATAGGTCCAGTGGTAAGAATCTTTATTTTCTTGACTATGAGATGCAATCCATACCGAAGGCTGCATACCTTGATCTTCTGCAACAAATGCTGCAAGTCCTTCTCACTTTCAGCAAGCAAGAATGTGTCATTTGCATAATGCAGGTTATTGATGAGTCTCCTTCCAATCCTTATGTCATACTCCTCTTCATAGAGTCCAGCTTCTCGGATAATTTGCTCAGCATACAGACTGAATACGTATGGAGAGAAAATATAACCCTGACACACTCCCTTTTCAATTATAAACCATGCAGTGCTCCCCTCTGTTTGCCTAACAGCCTCTTGGTCCAGATATAGGTTCCTCAGGAGCACAATTATGTGCCCTGGGATTCACATTCTTCTCAGTGTCAGCCACAACTTGTCATGATCTACACAGTCAAAATGTCAACAACAGAAACTATTAGAAACATAGTTGCTAAATAGAAATTCGTAATATTAACTACGCCAATCCTGCACAATGGAATCTCAATCCCACATCCTGGGCTCTCATTCAAATGCCTGAAAGATACAGAATTCCATTATACAACCGAGGAAAAGAGAAAAGAGATGGAGGTTACTTTGTTGTAGAGGATCAAAAGAAGATATTTGTAGGGGGCAACTATTCATTTTTGTTTGCTGTCCCACAATCAGGAAGACTGTTACAGGGTGCATCAACTGAGTGTAGTGCCTACCGGAAGCACAAAGGGTTGCCTGGTAATGACCCTGAGCCCTTCTGGTAGCTCTCATCACAACTGCCAAAGGAACCTACAGGACAAGTGGCTGAAATGGAAAGGCTAGTCCTCAACTTGCTACAAACTGCAAGTAACCCTGAACAGTCAAAATGATCTTGGAAAAGAACGGAGAAAAAGGAATTGCATGTCTCAATTTTAAAATGTACTATAAAGCTATAGGGAGCTCTGGTGGCCTAGTGGCAAGACGTTGTGCTGCAATCCCGAAGGAACACGGTTCGAGGCCACCAGCTGCGTCACGGGAGAAGGATGGGCAATCTCCTCCCATGTGATTACCTGCCTCTGAAAACCTGCTTGAGGGTCAGCTATGGGTTGGTGCCAACTCGACAGTATAAAACAACAATAGCATAAAGCTATAGGAATGAAAACAATGTGGTGCTGGCCCAAGGTCAGACCTCCAGATGAACGGAACAGAATTATGAGCCCACCATTAAACTCGTCCACCTTTTATTTATTGATTTTCGACAAGGGTGCTAAGTCCATTTAGTGGGGAAATAACAGTCTCTTCAACAAATATATGGTACTGGGACAACTGGCTTCCCACATGCCAAGGCATAAATTTGGACCCATATTTCACATCAAATACATGAAAAACTGATAGTAAATCAAAGACCTAAACACAATATTAAAATTGTAATACTTTTAGAAGAAAACATAAAAGCAAAGCTCCAGTTCTTTGTATTTTTCATGGATTCTTGGCGATAATACCAAAAAACTGGAAACGACAAAAGCCCAAATTGATCCAATTTCACCAAAATGAAAACTTTTGCATCAAAAGAAAAACCCTTTGATCAAGAAAGTAGAGATCACCTAAAGAATAAGACAAAATATTTAGGAGTCATATATCTGATCTGGGTTTTAAGATCCAGAATACATAAAGAATTCCTATAATTTAACAAAAGAACAAATTAATTAAAAAATGAGAAGATAAAACACAGGAAAAGATGGTTAAATGCCACTTGTTATTAGAGAAAGGGGCTCTGGTGGTCTAGTGAGTAAGGAGTTACATTGCCAATCCAGAGGCAGGTGGTTCAAATCCAACACCTGCTCCAGGGAGAAGGATGGGCAATCACCGCCCATGAGATTTAGAGCCTTTGAGAACTATTGTGGAAGGTCAGCTATGAGTTGGTTCTGACTTCACAGCAATGAGTTGTGTTGAATTTGATTTATTAAGGAAATGTAAATCAAAACCACAATGAATAGCACTTTATATCCAAAGATAGATATTATCAGAAAAAAAAGTATTGGCAAAGATCTAGAGAAATTAAAACTCTTTCACACTGCAGGTAGAAATGTAAAGTGGTGTAACTCTGGAAAATACTAGTAGTTCCTCAAAAACTTACACATAGAACTTCCATGACTTGCAAGAATACTCTTAGGTATAAACCTAAAAGCCTTGATGGAAGAAACTCAAGCAGATAATTGTAACATCAATATTCACCACAACATTATTCACAATAGTCAAAAGGAAATAACCCAAGTATCCACTAACAGTGAATGAATAAATAAAATGTGGTACACATATGTATAGTGGGATATTATTTAGCCACAAATAGAAACAAAGTTCTGATCTATGCTTTGACATCAAAGAGCCTTGAAAACATGTTTATGGAGATAAGAAGGTGCTCTGGTTGGCATAGGGATTAAGTGCTTGTCTGCCAACCAAAAGGTTGGCAGTTTGAACCCATTAGACTGAAAAGAACAACTATATCCTCTAATTTATACCAACTATCTAGAATAGGAAAAGATAAATATGCTCTACTGTCTATTGAATGAAAAGATCAATATGTATCAATGGTTGCTAGCAGCTGAGAGCAGGAAGAATGGAGGGAGAGCCCTTAAGGCCTATGGAATTGCTGTTTGAGTGAGGAAAAACTTCGGAAAACTGTTAGTGGTGATAGTTGCACGATATGATGAACGTACTTAATGTTACTGAATTGCTTACTTAAAAATGGTTAAAATGATTATACAGACTTTCACCACATTTAAACAAAAAACAAGACCAAACAGATCAGGGCCAATTCTGTGCACCGTGCAGAGTTTCAATAACTCCTAGGTAATTCCAGCTTGAAGGTAAGGACTAGGATCAGAATGATCCTTTAATCTCCATCAAGCATTCTTGTTTTCTATACATTTTACTGAAGGAAGAGGAGTATCAGCACAAGATTTGTATAATTCAAAAGCAGCTGAAAAGATGAAGAAAGAAGACTTACTTGGAAGACCTCTGGGATGCTGCCTTTCTTAGCACTTGTTTGAGATTGGCTGGAGGTTTGGGCAGCAGGGAGGAGGATGAACTTGGAGGTGGCACCACTTTTTGAGACAGAGTGAGTGGCTTCTGGCCACTGGCGGTGGCACTTGAAATTCTGCAGCCTGCACCATTAGTCACTGTCCATAAATTGGAGTTAGGCAGTGGTTGGCTGCCAAAGATTGCCTACAAGACAAAGGGGGGAAATGAATGATGGATAGATCCTTCACAATCCATTTGCTTTATGGGGAAAACTGGTCTATCATCCTGAAATGAGGCAAAAGGAGAAGAATTGTTAAAATAATTTTTCTTGGAACAACTTCTATTATATATTGAGAATACAAGTCTAGATTCAGCACAGGAAAATTTCTTGAAGCAGAAAGTTGCTTTGATTTTGCTGACAGTCTTACATGTCGGTCCACAAGCTTGAATTAGAAAACAATTTGGTCTCTTTCAGTCTCAGGTTTCCTTGACTGTTAAATTGAAGTATTATATATTTTTTACTGGATGTCAAGTATTAGAAACACAGCACAGAACAAAATTCTTACATGTGTACTGATATCTATCAAGAGACAAATGGAGAAGAAATAGAAATTGTCAAGAAAAGATCGTCCATGGACGCAGCAGTCAAGAAGCCAAACAATGCACTACTCTATGAGCACATTTCTGTCAAGAGATTTCTATAAAGTGATAAAAGGCAAAGATGTCACTGTGCTGTCTAAGGTGCACCTGAGCCAAGCAAAGATCTTCTTCTGTTGCCTCATATACACATGAAAGGTGGAAACCAAAAAAGGAAGACCACAGAGGAACTGACAGTCAAACTGTGGCATTAATCAAGAATACTGAACACATCATGGGCTACCAGAAGAACCAACAGAACGTGCTGGAGGGAATGCAGCCAGAATGTCCCTCAGACACAATGTTTCAAAGACTTGGCCACATTTGCTATGGACATGTTATCAATTGTTCTGGAAGGACAGCATGCTTGGTGGAAGGTCAGTGGGAGACACTCACAGAGATGAACTAATTTACAGGCTGTACCTCTAGGCTCAAATTTAGCAACAGTTGTAAAAGATGGTGTTGTTAAGAACTACTGAGTCAGAAATAACCCACAGCTGACCTGTCAGCGGGTTTTCAGAGGCAGGAAATGACACAGGAGAAGACTGCCCATCTTTCTCATGTGGTGGATTTGGCTTCACAGTGCAACTTCTTACCACTAAGCCACCAGCGCTCTTTCCGATGGCACAGAACTGGGCACTATGTCTTTCTGTTACACATGAAGTCGATGTGAGGTGGAGCTGATGTGACGGATGGCACCCAACAACAGCATATACATATCTGTCTACATCTACATTTCCTCCCTCCCTCCCTTCCTTCCTTCTATTTCTTTATCTCTCTCTCTCTGTGTATCTATCTATCTATCTATCTTCCTGGAAAGGGAGACTGGTAACTTCCAAGAGCCGGTTAGTTAGGAGAAAGATTAATTTTTTACTCTATGTAATGTGTTCCTTTAAAATTTTGTCTTTTTACACAGTCATGGATTATAATTTATTAAAAAAATAAAATGGTGTCAGGTCCTAATGACATTTAAGCAGGCAAAAAATTTAACTTACAGTTTACAAGTTAAAGTATCCAAATGAAACTCAAGTTTCAATTAAGGGGGCATAAGATTCTCCCTTAGACATTGGGTGGAAGAAAGAGTTGACTAATACTTCTGGCTACAAAATCCGGACTAGGTCACTGCTGAAAGGCAGAGTTGTCTGTGCTGAGTGGAAAAGAGAGCAGCTTTGCAATCAAATGCGCTCAGGTTTGAACGAAGGGCCTTTCACTTAAAGACCTCTCTGAGTGTTAGCTTCCCTACAAAGCAATGATATGTCACTAGAATGCCGAGGACTGGATGACGGCACATGGGTAAATAAAGGTCCCCACCCTCACCCCAAATAGATCGCACTACCAAACACATAATAAACACTCAACAAATATTGCATTTCTTCTCCAATCTTTGCCTTAGTTTATTCAAGAACCCAGGGATGGGATGACACAGAATATGGCCTAGCTGTAGTCATTTGTGAATGATAGGTGGGCATGTATTTTCCAACGTTATTTTTGGTCTTATGACAATGTTTGCTAGCTGTGAGAGTAAACTCTTAAAATAAAAAACCTATGTCTAGTGTCCCCAGATTATATTTACTCAATTCTCTTTGGCAGAAATAATCGTCTCTTCCTCTGAATACTTATTTATATGCCTCTTATCACATTTAGCACGTTCTACTTTGCATTACAACCTTTTATGCATGCATTTTTCCTCCTTTTGCTTTAATATACTGAATGGATACTGAAGTGATGAAAATTCTATGCCATCTGAAGCACCAAGGAGTTAGTAATCTAATTACTACAAAGTCTCGAGTGTGTTTCACAGAAGCCAAGGCTAAGTGGGATGGGATTAAGCAATCAAGTCTGATAAGCAGAAACCCAGGAAAACACCGAAGCAAATAAATGGGAGTGTTCAAATTCTGGGCAGAAATCAGCCTCCTCAGATTCCTCGTCACCTACATTACACCAACTCCACACAGCGGCACCAACTAGAGATCACAGGGACAGCTATGTCTTGACCATCACTACTTGTCACAGAAGGACAAATTCAGTGATGTTCTCTGTCTGTAATTTCAAAGAGATGTGAGGTTTGGGGTTTGGCACTCTATATTTGTGGGTTAGCAACCAAGGATGAGAGCGGCTCTGTCATGAGGCCACGGCCTGGGAATGAGAGAGCTGTGTAAGCGCTGGCCTCTCCTCAAGGCCTGGTCAACATATACATGACTTTTCCTGCTTTATTCAGTGTGGGAAACAGCCATGCTCCAGCAAGGAGTCTCAGAGAAAACCACGGTTTGAGGGTTGGCTTGGCCCCAGGCAAAAGACTGGAAAGGCCCTCCTTCTCCCACAACAGAAGGGCACTCATGGGTGGGAAGGAGGAATTGCTGATAGACGGAGCACAGACTGTAACTTGGAAGGCTGCAGGGAAACAAGATCTGGGCTCTCTTACTAGAAAGATAATACTGTTCAGAGATTAAATTCTGGGTGGTTTAAAAAAAAAAGTTATTTATTCCTTCCAGAAAACACTCCTCCGTTTAGCTGGCACCCAGGCTTGTGGGTGATGGTCCCGAGCTGGCTGATGATTTGTAGTTAAACAATCCTCCAAATTCACTTTTTAGAATTACACAAAATAAGTATATAAAAGCTCATCTCTGTTTGAATGGACTAATGTTTCTTAGATTGCCTCTTTTTTTTACAGCTCCTTTACACAAAGGTCAGATTTCAGAAGACCAAACATTTCTAAGCATTATTTTGCCCATATTAGATTTTGTCCTAACTTGGATACTACAAGTTATACAAAGCTACTTCAAATATGCTTCTCTCTTACTGCTCAGGCTCAGAGGTTGGGGAAGTACATTTTCCTGAATATGTAAGCTTCTCACTCACCTTACCCCAACCAGGCTGAGAGCCGCTGAGTGAAGAGAAACACACTACCACTATTAACCAGTGTGCAGCCATTCCATGCTGTAAAGAGCTTGGGGCCAATGTGAGTGTAGCTGTTTCTATCTTGGGAACAACAAGCTTCCCCAAAGCCTTTGTCTTACACTGTATGGAGTTCTTGGCTGGCTTCCATGCACAATGTTTGTCAGCTGAGACATGACTGTAGGCGGAGCAAGAGAAATAAAGTACTGCTTCAGAGCACCAGGCCATGACCCAGACAGGGTTAGGGTACTGACCCAGAGCCATACAAATAGCCTTTCCTCTCCTCCTCAGCTCACAGAAGCTCCTGGGGCAGTGTAGGCAAAAGATACGGAACAAAAGAAAAAAAAAAACAACGAAACAAAACCACATAAAAGTAGCCATGTTTCCTGATCTGACAGAGACTCCTCGGATGCCTGAGACTCTCTGGCTCTTAGTCATCCTTCAAGTTTGGAACAAAACCCACTCTGGTGGTTCAGCTTTCGGCCAAGCAAGGGACGGGCCTCTGCAGTGGACAATAGCATCGGGGAGTTTTCACACACCATGGAACACTCAATTATCCAAGATCAAAACGGTAGAATTTGCCCAGTGAGGACATTTAGAAAGTAAGAAGGGTTAGGATAGAGGGATGAATGGAAACCATCAGAAAGGAAGTACGAAGAGTGTGGTTAGATTGTGGGCATTGAAATGAATGTCATAAACCAAAATGTGTATGAATGGGGGAATAAAATATCAATTCGCTCTGTCAGCCTCACCTCAAATCACAATTGGGTTTAACATTTTAAAAAGTAGCAAAGAGCCCTTATGGTGCTCTGTGGGAAAAGATGAAGCACTGTGCGTTTGTAAAGGCTTGTTGTTGTTGTTGTTGTTGTTGTTGTTATGTGCTCACAAGGACTCTGTGAACCCTGGAAATGCACCAGGCGGGGGATTCTGTCTTACTGAGTCCTACAGGGAAAAGCGTATCCAGCCACGAGCTGGAAATGACTCCACGGCAGTCAGTGTGGTTTGAGTTTTGTGTAGCAGAAAGTTCTTAACAGTTCAAAAAATCTGCTCTCAACAGTGCAAACCCACATAACTGATCACCTGATAGAACAATATAAAAGAAACTATTATCCTCCAGTCAACAGAAACCAATGTGTTCAGTCTCCCTATAGCCCTACAAGCTGGATTATATGAAGAATGTGGCATCAGGTTTGGAGGAAGATTCATCAACAATCCACGTTATGCAGATGACACAACTTTGCTTTCTGAAAACTATGGGAACCCTGCCTGATTGTAAATCAGGAAAGGTGTGCAGCAGAGCTGTAGCCTTTCTCCATACCTATTCATCTTTTTAATGGACAAATCATTTGAGAAACTGGATTATATGAAGAATATGGTGTCAGGATTGGAGGAAGACTCATCAACAACCTGCATTATGCAAATGGCACAACTTTGCTTTTGAAAGTGAGGACGACTTGAAACAGTGGCTGCAGAGAGGTAAACACTACAGCCTTCAATATGAGTTACATTTCAACAAGAAACCAAAAATCTTCACCAGGCCAATAGGTAATATCATGATAGGTGGAGACGAGATAGAAATTGACAATGATTCAGTTTTGCTTGGATCCACAATCAATACCCTTGGCATCAACAGCGAGGAAATCAAAAGAAGTATTGCATTGGGAAAGTCTGCT